AAATAACACTAACTAAAATGTTTTGAAAAATAATTTTACTTAATTGAAAATGATAGGAGAAAAAATTAGAGAATCACAATACATAAATTAGCTAACCAAGACAAAATCAACTTTTACTTCTAAAAAACAATATAGACTTCCTGTCTAACAGGCTGCCTAAAGTAACACAGTATACATTTCTGACTTATTTTATAGTTTATAAAGTACAATTCATAAAGTTTGATAAGTAATTTTAAAAAAATACTAAATTGTAATAATAGAAATAATAATAAACATAATAGTTTAAGACACATCAAACAATCTGGTAAATAGTATAAAATATATAGAACTATTCAATTATTTAATACATAATATAGTAATCAGTGTATTGACACTGATTAAAATAAAACAATGTCTTATGATACCCATATAAAGATATTCTTTAATTAAAAAAAGCATATTTTATAAACTAAACTTCAAAATTTATAAATGTATAATTTGTTTAAACAAAACAAAATTTTTCTAGGGAACTTTTCCTGAGGAAAAAGGTTTATGATATTTTTTTGGTTTGTTAAGGTTTATCGATAGCACTAAGTTTGAAGAACAATTCATAAATTTGGAATATTTTCGACGATTTTTAAAAAAGTTATAGAGCCTCGTAATTTTAAGTTAAAAAATTTATAATTTTTTTAGGAGTTTTTCTCGATTTTGATGGGGAAGGTGTGACTTTTTTTAATTTTTGGCCTTATAAAGTACCTTTTAGTAAAAATAACGAATTATCAAAAAATTTGTCCTTAATATTATAACAAAAATAAAATAATTTGATTTATATTATTTATATTAATGTACAGGGGCAGTTTGGACAATTGTAAAATTTGGGCCATCCAAATCTCTGGATCATTATAAAACATAACAAGTTAATTAATAAATAAAAATGTTTTGACTGAGTCTAGTTTAGTTTCTCAATCGTAATAAACAATAAAATGAAAATATTTTCAGTACCTGTTGACTGTTCTTTCACACACGCATGGCAACCAAGAAACTGACTACGGACATTTTGTTAATGTATTGTATTTTTGGGGTTTTCCTTTAATAAAAAAATATTTGACCATAGATTTTTGAGAAAATTGTATATATTATAGTTCCATTTTAGATCTACCTTTGGTCTGATTTTAAGATCTAAATCTCTAAAACTTTGCTTGAAAAAGTGAAATAAAGAAAAAAAATCTATCCCTTCTAAGGGAAAGGGCTTATGATATGTTTTTGGTTTGTTAAGGTTTATCGATAGCACTAAGTTTGAAGAACAATTCATATAAATTTGGAATATTTTCGACGATTTTTAAAAAAGTTATAGAGCCTCGTAATTTTAAGTTGAAAAATTAAAATTTTTTTAGGAGTTTTTCTCGATTTTGATGGGGAAGGTGTGACTTTTTTTAATTTTTGGCCTTATAAAGTACCTTCTAGTAAAAATAACGAATTATCAAAAAATTTGTCCTTAATATTATAACAAAAATAAAATAATTTGATTTATATTATTTATATTAATATACAGGGGCAGTTTGGACAATTGTAAAATTTGGGCCATCCAAATCTCTGGATCATTATAAAACATAACAAGTTAATTAATAAATAAAAATGTTTTGACTGAGTCTAGTTTAGTTTCTCAATCGTAATAAACAATAAAATGAAAATATTTTCAGTACCTGTTGACTGTTCTTTCACACACGCATGGCAACCAAGAAACTGACTACGGACATTTTGTTAATGTATTGTATTTTTGGGGTTTTCCTTTAATAAAAAAATATTTGACCATAGATTTTTGAGAAAATTGTATATATTATAGTTCCATTTTAGATCTACCTTTGGTCTGATTTTAAGATCTAAATCTCTAAAACTTTGCTTGAAAAAGTGAAATAAAGAAAAAAAATCTATCCCTTCTAAGGGAAAGGGCTTATGATATTTTTTTGGTTTGTTAAGGTTTATCGATAGCACTAAGTTTGAAGAACAATTCATAAATTTGGAATATTTTCGACGATTTTTAAAAAAGTTATAGAGCCTCGTAATTTTAAGTTAAAAAATTTATAATTTTTTTAGGAGTTTTTCTCGATTTTGATGGGGAAGGTGTGACTTTTTTTAATTTTTGGCCTTATAAAGTACCTTTTAGTAAAAATAACGAATTATCAAAAAATTTGTCCTTAATATTATAACAAAAATAAAATAATTTGATTTATATTATTTATATTAATGTACAGGGGCAGTTTGGACAATTGTAAAATTTGGGCCATCCAAATCTCTGGATCATTATAAAACATAACAAGTTAATTAATAAATAAAAATGTTTTGACTGAGTCTAGTTTAGTTTCTCAATCGTAATAAACAATAAAATGAAAATATTTTCAGTACCTGTTGACTGTTCTTTCACACACGCATGGCAACCAAGAAACTGACTACGGACATTTTGTTAATGTATTGTATTTTTGGGGTTTTCCCAAAATTTATAAATGTATAATTTGTTTTAGCAAAAAAAAATTGTACTTTTTTTTAATCTAGGTATTCAAAATGTTGACTACACATTTTTTCCCGACCATCATCAACTTAATTTCATAACAGTTTACAAATTTTCAATCCTTCAGTTAGTCAAGATATTTTTACAATAAATTAATATTTTAATATTATTAAGGCAAGTAAATATTAATAAATAAACAAATATAGAAACTACCTTTATAATTTATTTGGTAGGCTAATAATTATGTTTGTCAACAATTTATATATAATATACTGTTATTATACCTGTAAGTATCTTTAAACTACTACAGTTTTAAGTCTAGAATATTATAAGACACTTGTATTAGTGTAAAAAATATTCAAACATTAATACAAGTGTTAAAAAAAAATTTAACTTCCTTAATTTTGCTTTAATGTAGTTGAAAATTCAAAGTATTTAGGCAAATGAGATATCAGTGTAGTGGTTAGGTGTTTATTCAATTAGACCGATACAGAATATTCTCCAGGGGTTTTGCACAAGGTCCAATTAACATCAACAACCAATATTCAAATAAAGTGTCAAAAATCAGTGTATGGATCAGTGTCCATGGAGAAATATATAAAGAAATGTCTATTAAATGTTCCTCGAGTCACATTCCAGCTGAAAAAAAAACTAATGGGTAAATAATAGTAATAATAATTATAATACAAAAGCAATTTTAAATGATTTACTAATGTTATCGTTTGTTAATTGTGAAGTTAAAATTAATAATGACATTTTTTTATACCATTTAACTTCCAACTTTTTATACTATTCAACTTAAATTATCCATCAATAACACTTCGAAGAGTGATTTCATGAATAGACTATATTTGTGACCGGTATAAATCAAGTGGACCTAGTTTGTTATCTCATACCAATGAAGCGTAAGATCTACAAGTAAATGCAATTGTTCTTGTACAAAAAACTAACGATGTTAGAAAATAGTAAATTATATTATTAAAAAAAAAACGATAATTTACATTTGAATTTTTTTTTTAGATACCCTATATTAGGGTATTTTAGATTGATAATTAATTACTATTGTATCATTATTTTTATTAATACTACAAATCTAGAGTGTTTTCCTTACCTAGTCTGATAGAATGTGAATTTATATTTTAGTGTTTCGGGGTTGGTCCATAAAGTAATATAGAGGAGCCGTTCCGTCAAAATATTGGTTCGAACGAGGTTGCGATTCTCAGTGCAGCCACTTAAGAAAAACTAAATTCGTTGGATAAACAATTGTAGCTACACCAAGATTTACACAATATTACTTTACAATATATTATTTTAATTATAATAAAACTATAATATTATAGTTAAAATAATTGTAAACACATAGATAGTAAGCTTCGTAAATCGGCCCATATACTACGATCAAATAGGACGGTTTTACACAACCAAGATTAAATCAATGCAAGATTCGGCAGATATAAAAACTGTGATGTTTCGTCGTCGGTTTTTGCCCATTCTCCCCGGGTTTGATTGTGGCGATAAAAACGACGTATTTCATATTTTCATCGTAGAGTACATAGTTATTAAGTTATTTTACTCATATAATTTGATTAGAACAATAGGAATTAGGATCATAATTATAAAACAATTAATCAACGAAACATTTCATATTTACTAAGTACATAAGTAAACTAATGTCATATGGAATATAATGTATATTTTATATTTAATTCTAATTAGTAGCACATTAAACATAATACTAAAAACACTAAACAATTTTATATATTTTCTATTACAGATGTAGGGCTTAAATAATAATAGTTTTACAGCTCTTGTCAAAAAATAATAAAAAAATATTACAATAATAATATTATGATTATTTTTTTTATTATTATTATTATTGTAGTTTTTACCATTCAACCAAAAACGTCTATAATATACAAAAATCTGGCGAATAGCTGGTGCGTGATTAACAATATCATTTTCATCAGCCAGTTCATCGAAATGAGCCACAATGCTGTTGAATCCATCAAGTATAACCTCAGATGGCAAGAGAGGCAGCGCCATTAGCATGTGGATAATTTTCCAAAAAAATATATTTGTTTTTGCCAACACTGTAAGTCCTAAGTTCCAAATGATCTAATTAATTCAGATTATTTATAATAACATAATATATTAATGCATTTATATATGCAATATAAATATTGCACAACGAAATCAAACTTAGAATATGCGCAGCGAATAGAAGTTATTACGCTATGAAAGAGATGTTCTCATCAAAGCTTCTGTCGCACCGAACGAAAGAGAGATTATACATTACATACTAACCCATCCAGGTTAGTAAATCTGTCTAGAAACCATCTCATGATGGCATTTAAGCTACATGATAATAATTATTTATGGGAGTACATTCCATTTTTGTTCAAATTTAAATTTGATATACTTGACAGATAATAAATAAATCGAAGAAGTGTCTTTTTCAAAAAAACAAAAGTTGCAATAACACTGTACAACCCTGTATAATTTTTATTGTTTTTTGTTACTTACCAACAGACTGGACGCGTTTCCAAACTGCTTGTCCCAAGTGAAAAAAACATCCTGAATGTTGACAATTGGGAAAATGATTTTCAAAAGAATTATATATTGCCGTTTCAAAATCGCTCATTACTGTGTTTGGAGACCAATTTGATTCAACACCAACAACAAATTGAATTAGCCTCTCATAAGCACTTTGCGTTTTTCTTGACATAAGTGCAAATATAATTGGAAATCCCTTAGCAAACCAATGGTAAGTAAATAAATTAATAAATAAAAATAAGCTATGTTTAATTTGTTTCAAATAATAATTATTTACATAGCCAAAAGATTTTGCCATTATCACCAACAATTGTTGACATTGGTGATGGAATGATGGTGCAGCGTCAAATGTTCCATCAACATAAAAATCTTTAGCTTTTCTTAACAATCTTAAATTATAAATAATAACAAATTTATAAAATAATCAATATATACAAATTATGTATATTTTTATGATATCCCCAACAATGATGGTTCCTGACATTTTTAAAATACTGTTAATTTTTTTTTCTACATATAAACATTCATTGTTTCTCCCAGGAGGCTGTAAATTAAAATGGCAAATCTTAATAAAATAAAAAAAATGTAAAAATTGAGTCATTCTTCTTCACGATCCTCAATCAATAATGGAGATTTTTCTTTTATAAGACTGAAAAAAATAGTAATCAATTTATACCTTTTGGTTTCTGGTGTCATGAATATAATAGTTATGCCTTCATCTTCATTTCCCCTAATAGTTCCAACATATGAAATTTCCCCCATAATTAATGTCCTGTCTTGGAATGGCCCTTTCAGTTGCTCACTAAACTCCTCCATTGTCCTCGGGTTTTCTGGTTGCCCATCCTTCCTGAACCTCGAAATTGTCCTTCTGTAAGTTTCGTATCGAGGAAGATCAACATCAGCGAAATTTCGACTCGTTGACACCTTAATGCAAACATTATATAAATTTAAAACACGACTTAATAAATAAATTAGCTTATCAAAATTTGGGATCCTTCGGTAAAGTTTAACAGGTTGCTCAACGCAATTTTACACTTCATTAGGTTTTTTAAATTAATTTGCAAAATCATTGTCTAAAACTAAAAGGGTGAGATTTAGCCGGTAAATAACCGAAAAAAAGTGTTACCAAAGTAGCGTTACCATACGGAGATGGGTTGGAGGTGGAAATAGGGGTAGGATATAAGGGGGGGAAGGATTGGGGTTGGGGACAGGAGATAGGGGTGGGAGATAAGGGGTGAGGGTGGGAAGGGGGTTGGGGTTGGGAACAGGAGATAGGGGTGGGAGATAAGGGTGAGAGATAGGGGAGAGATAGAGGTGAGAGATTAGGGAGAGATAGAGGTGAGAGATTAGGGAGTAGGAATAGAGTGGGAGATAGGGGTGAGTGATAGGGACGGGAGATAGTGGGTAGGGGAGAGGGGTAAGATATAGTAGAAAAGAGATATGTTGTACGTTCAACGTTCAAATTAGAACTAAATAATAAATTCAAAATAGTTTAATTCTCTATGTTAGGTTACTTTTGGCCAGATAATAAACACTACAATTTTAGCCAGAAACTTGATTGTACATAATTTTTTAATCTCCTTGGCCTTATGCTGTAACTGGAAGCTCCATATAATTTTTTTTTTTTTAATTATAATTCCACAACTAATCTTTATTTATTCGGTACTTCAACGGGACATGAAAATGCTCTTTCGTGGTTGCAGACTCGGCTGAAAAACTTTTTTTCTTAGGTATTTCTTTAGTTAAACTTATAAAAAGATTTAATATTTGATTTTTGAAATTTAAAATTTTCTATGATATAATATAAAGTTGTATTCAATTTATAGTTTTTTATAAATTAAAACTGTTTTCTATACTTAATATTTTATTATAACATTGAAATAGCTTAATACTAAAAAAATGTTTTATGGTTCAGGTACATTTTCATTTTTTTTTTCATTTTTTAACAAATTAATTGTTTTTCAATCCGGAAAATTATGACTGTGATTGTCAACCACTAGATTTTATATATTACTATATTAATAGAAAGACTAAATTCTAGTAATTTTGGGAACTTTGGTTCTTAAAAATAATTTAAAATACCTTATTGTATAAAACTCGCAGAGAAGTTAGTTCGTGTTGAGCTCTTCCCATTAGCTCACTCCTAAATTGCCGCTTAGGCACCTCATTATTATGTCTGTGGCAATGCGGTTGAATTAAAATCAATGTATTAAGGTTTTGTTCATAAACTTTACCTCTTGCTGAACATCAAAAAAGTCAAAAACCTTTTTTTTAATTTCAGTCAATAATTAGATTTTGTACATTTATTGAAAATTACCCTGTATCAATGAGTTAATAATACAGAATATTATAATACTTTAGTTTGTAAAACTATTATTAATAAATATTACCCATACAACGCACTATTTTAAATGATTTTTTTTTTTTTTTGCTAGACATTTATTTCCCTAAAATATTATAAAATATAAATACTATTTTTGAACAGTATTAAAAATTTAGACATTAAATTTCCATCCAAAAAAAGAGGATTATATAAAATGTTAAAATACAATCTAATAATTTTTTGCAAACCGACGTTTATTTTTAAATTACTCACTTTATATTACTTTTATAAAACCTACATCTTAAAGTTTTAGGCTCTCTATCTTTATGTTGGCTCCAATAAGTAAAGCCAAACTCGTCTTTCAGAATAATTTCATTTTTCCGTAAGCCTTGAACCTCAGTTAAATGTCTTATTTCATGGTGAGCCATTATGAATTTTAAAAGTGAGTTTTGTAAATAAATATTTTTAAAAAAACCGATTCAAACAAATTTGAAAAAAAAAACGCGGACTGCTGCAAACTGCAAAGGCAAATAAACTAAATATTTAATAAAAAATAAGAAAAAACCCTTCCACTCGACCGATATCATGCATTGTATTTATATATATATATATATATATATATATATATATATATATATATATATTTATATATAAATACTAAACTAATTAAACATTTCATAAAAAATAAGAAAAAACCCTTCCACTCGACTATATATATACAATATAATATTTAATAAATGTTTGTGTCATATCGCCTAACACAATATATATATATATATATATATATATATATATATACATACTGTGTTAGGCGGTATGACACAAACAATAACAATTGGATTTATTTTGTTTTGGATCTACACACAGCCTCTGCCTTTTGCATGACTGTAGAGACAATACAAATATTTTCTGGATACCCATGTGCATGTAAAAGCAATTATTAATTAACTAAATACAATAATATACTATAGTAAGTTATTAGGGTTTTAATAAATAAATTTACTATAATTTGAGGCACAAAGTTGTATAACTTTGTATATTATATATTGCTTTCTTGAATTTGTAAATCAATTTCATATGTATAATAATAAACAATAATTTGTATGTTAAACCTTTAAAATAAATTTATAGTATTTAATACTTACTATAAATTCATACCCAGTTAGGTTAAAGTATTTAATTATTATTACTTTGTAAATAATATTTGGTATTAACGACAATATACTAATTATATTTCTGTATTTTTTTTTTTTTTATTAGAAGTGACCAAGTGTTCCGGTTCCAAGCCCTAAAAGTAAATATTAGGGTAATTATTGATTAATAACTCAATTGTTTATGTTGTATTGGGTGTATTAACAATGGCTATATTAACGTGCAACTAATAATTACTATCATAATCAATAATGTTCTCAATAGAAATGTTTTACATTAAACTTAATGCAAATTGCAAAAGTATTTATATTTTTTATTTCACAGTAGGTAAAAAATTTTACCAAAATTTAAAAAACAAGTTGGTAAGTAAATGTATTGAGCATTACAGGTTGAATTCTTAAAAAAGATAAAATTTAATTAAGTTTTGCCTATAATGCTGTTATTTTTGTTTCAGGCACACAGACTAAAAAGCTTTAAAGGCCAAGAAGACAAACTGTTTATGAAAAAATGTTTGGAAAATTGTCTAAATGATGAACTTTGTAACCAACTCTGTCATTCAGTGGAAGAAGGGCCTTGGCTACAATACCTAAAAAAAAGGCATTAGGCCATACAAAATTGTACAAACTTATTTGTGGTAAATTAAACATAAATTATTATTGAACTTGAGTTAATACATTTTTTTTTTATAGATTTTGGCCGGATAAGATTTCACGATTTTAGTGAAAGTAAGGCTGAAATAGCAGCAAGCAGCTGGCTCCGTCATGCTACCGATATGCTCAAGAGCACGGAAAAATGATTTATAATTTATATAGTAATCGTTGTAAATTCTATACATAATATGTGTATTTTTATAGTTTTGTATAGGTTATGTACCTCTATACTTATATATAAGTATTGTATAATATTAAATTTGCAATGTACAGTTAATAAAATTAATACAGTTAATGTAAACTAATGTGATTTAATTCAATAGAAAAGAAAAATATTATCTTCTATGAAAACGTTTATAATTCCTTTAAAAACATAATTTAGGGTTTCTAAACGTTTATGAGCCTCTCACCGGGACTACTGTGGGATTTAACTTTAAGTCCCTGTGACTTCCCGTTTTAGAATCCTTCAATGGAGCTCCTAAAGAGCGGACATTAGGATTTGTTATGGCTAGCTTATGGACTTGAGGTTGGACCTCCCAGGAATCTGACCAGGACTCCATGTGTTATAATAGTCCAAGAATAAAACTTCAAAATTTACTCCGTGCTAGAAAAAATTCCCATAGTTTTGAAATTTGGCACAACTGTTCACCTTAGGGTACTTATTAACATACTAAAACTCCTGACCGCTCAAGCGTACGCTCGCTCTTCTCAATATGAGAAAAATCAGTTTTTCGCTATTTTCTTAAATAGTTTCAGCTTGACAAAAAATGCACACCTATAAATTTTTGTTAAATGTTTAATTTACTATAAAAAAGGTTCTTTGAAAATTTCTTCCAAAACCAATATTTTCTTCAATAATTAGCAAAATGCAAAGGGTAGTTTACATTTTTGGCAATAAACTGAATATTATTATAGTTTCGCATTTTCAGTTGGTGGCAGTCCTGACATATTTGATTTATTTTTTGTCGTACTTCTAGTAAAACATTTATATCTGTATTCATTTAAAGTAATTTCTTTTTCTGGCGCTCAATATAACGCTAAAATATAAATCTGTCCTGATTTGATAATAGAATCAGACGTAGCATTTTCATCATAAAACACTGATATTATGCTGCTACTATCTTCTCTTTTATGTAATAGTTTAATATGCTTTAATTTTCCAAATTGAAAAAAAACTTGATACTGTGTCACAACCACTAAAGGCGTGTAAAAATAACAAATTCTTTTTTATGACATCATCTAATTTACAATTAGCCGAATAAATTATTTTTGATAAGGTTTTACCTTTAGATGGTTTAATAAAATATATATTTTTTTTGAGGAGTTAGAGCAGTAAGTAATATTAATAAATCAACGTCTTCACCAACTATTGCAACTGATTAGTAGCTGATAATTGTAGTTCTGTGTTTACTATTAAAGTATCTGCGTCGTCAAGGGCATTTTCCACCTGATAGTTCTCATCTTTAAACTTGTTTGTCAGTAAATTTATTAAAAGGCGTTTGTTATTTTCGTTTGACAAAAATGGTTGTTGCCCAATTGTGACATTCGTTTTATCATTAAATATAATGTCAACTGATCTGCTATTTTGAGTACGTCTTCTCCTCTCGTAGTTTTTTGTGTTTTTAGAACTTTTATTGTATCCATCAAAAACAATTACTACATTTGAGCCAAAATATTTCTTTACAAAAGATATATAAGAATTACAAACAGACATAAATGTTTGATTTGGTTGCCAAGGGACACGATGTAAAAGATTTGACTTGTATATATATATTATATATATTACATAGATAACACCGATATCTTATATTATATACCACAAAGAATAGAAGCAAAAGGGTCTCTTCTAATGTAAACAAAAACTATACACAACTAATAAAATAATGTATAGGTATAACATTTATATGGCTCTCCAATGAGAAGGCCGACGCGTTTTTGTGTGGTTACTGTATATACCATGTACATTTTTATTTTTAACCGGTGTCAGAGGTATGCGTTTACCAATATTCTGAATACAAATAAACTACGAACAATTTTTATTTATTATGCCTATAAACAGTACAATACAAAACAGTAATAGTCAGTTTATAGAAAAAAATGTAAACTACCCTTTGCATTTTGCTAATTATTGAAGAAAATATTGGTTTTGGAAGAAATTTTCAAAGAATCTTTTTTATAGTAAATTAATCATTTAACAAAAATGTATAGGTGTACATTTTTTGTCAAGCTGAAACTTTTTGAGAAAATAGCGAAAAACTGATTTTTATCATATAGAGCAGAGCAGAGCAGAGCGAGCGTACGCTTGAGCGGTCAAGAGTTTTAGTATGTTAATAAGTACCCTAAGGTGAACAGTTGTGCCAAATTTCAAAACTATGGGAATTTTTTCCAGGTAACAATGCTATAATTCCTGAACTATAAGGGAAGTGTGTCGATACTGAACCAAACTGCGATGTTTGCGAAGAATATTTTAAAGGACAACATTTTTTTATCCTAATTTTAATGTTTTCACTTCAATAAATAGACTTCTAACACCTATTTCATGTATTCTTGTACCTTTAAATACCACTTCTTAATTATCTCTTACATTTACTATTTCATTTCACCTCTTCTTTAACATATCCTCACCATCCCAATCAAAGCTATTCATTTGTCTATACCCGTGATATTTATTTTCTTCTTAATCTCATTTACCTAGTATTTTAGTTTTATCACAATTCACATTGTATTGTGTTACCATATTACGAATAAGTCAGTTATACCTCAATAGAAAATACAATATAGAAAAATCAAAATTGATTATCACAAAAATATTTAAATACAGCCTTGCGGTTAGAACCTGGTTAATGATAAGAAAAAATATACTATAGGATGGCTTGGGAACCTATGACAGCTTACCGATATAGGGAACGGCTCCTGGCATTCGGTCATAGGTTCCCAGAGTCATAGGTTCCCAGATGGTCAGAAGCTCCCAAGTTACCACAATGGTTACCACACTGTTATCACAAAATGTTATCACACGGTTATCATCACAAAAAAAAACTTAATTTTATTTAGTAAATATTTCAATATTTTTATATTTTTATTAAATATACTAAACAATTTTCATAAACTGCTATTTTATTGTTTTATAAAACCACACTTCATGTCTTCATTTATTTTTATAAAATGTCCTAAACTTTATGTGGAATATAACATTGATTACAATTATAACATTCATAAGACTACTGTAGATAAATTTTGAGTCATTGGTTGTATTGCTTAGCATAAAACACAATAACAGATATAAGTTAAAGAAGAGTAAGACTGAACAGCTAGAAACTAGAAAATGTAGTCCATCCTGGGTGATTTTATCTGAAGGACATTGAAGTTAGAGTACATAATTTAGATGAATTTTATTATTATTATATTACAACTTGTTTAATATCAATTAAGTTTGATCTGTGAAGGGGAATTCATGTTAAAAACAGTGGTTATGGACGAAATATGACATATTGTATATAAAATACAAAATATAACAAATTGTATTATTAGTTATAGTTATAAAACTAATTTAAGAAAATGTATATGTAGAGAAGTTTAGAATAAATGAATGAAAAACCTTCACTCCACTTAACATTTTGGGAAAACAATAGTGAAATATTAGTTAAGAGTAATAATACTAGTAAATTCTTATTAAATAATATAAATTGTTCACAAAGATGTTTTTGATTTTTTTATTAAGTTTTTCTATGTATTAGTTATAATTGTATGTACATAAAAATATATCAATACAAGTTTTAATTAAAATTGAGGAAATAATATTTGTTAATACTTAAAATAATATTTTGAGTTTCGACTGACGTAAATTAATTATATGATGTGAAAATTGACTATAAACACATTTATATATTTTTTAATTAAATTTAAAATAACTAAATACTTTTAAATTTTATTTTATTTAAATATGTATAGTATCATATTATATATATTTTGTGCCCCTCATATCTACTAAAATAAAATACTGATAACTAATGTGCTAATAAATACTTAATATGATCACACAATGCACACATTGATACAAAAGATTCAAATTATTATTTGTATACTCTACAAAAAAAATATATTAGGACCACTAAAATTAAAAATATAAACTGTATAAGTCTGTAACGAATATATCTATATTAGTGGGGTTAACCTATTATTTTTTTTATACAGGCACACAGTTAAGGTTCAGATATTCTGAGTCTAGTGTACCTAACAGCTAGTCTCAATTTCTTATATTGTTACAGTGCAGTGCGGTGAGTGGACCACACTCATGACTGTCCGCCTTCTAGGGCTAAATCGAGGGACCCTAGCCGGGACAGGAAGCTAACCAGTATCTACCCTGAAATAATCCTTGAGACTCTTTATAAATTTATATAACCGCCCGAAGAGTAAAAGGGCCGGTCGTACCTTGAATGAACTAAAATGAACTAAACTATGAATTAACTAAACTCTCAAGTTGCAACGTACAATATTATTTATTTAGAAAGGCTTAACGCCGAATAGAAATTAAGTTAACGATTAAAATATTAAAATAGCTGGAAAACAATAAGTATAAAATGTATAGAAACCTGTACCTGGGGTCCTTGGTATCCGAAGACAAGAACAGGCGGAGTGACACGCACAAAAATATAAAAAGATGCCGAATTGATTAGGTAATTATTAGAGACTCCATAGATTTGGTTTGGAAGTAACGATAGCTACCAGCCATGCACAATAATATTATTGCTAATAATAAGTCAGGCAAAAGCCATCGTTACAATACTATATAGAGAAATCTATCACTTGTTTAATATATTTGTGTATTAATGGAAGTTTGAAACTTCCTTTACAAACATATTTTTCCACAATATTCCTTAAAATATTTTTGTTTAAGCAGACTAAAATTATACGAGTTCATTACCAATTTGAATATCATTATGAAGTAATAAAAGATTTTGAACCTTTGTAGAGGGATTCACATAGGCGCAAATATTATGGTTGTTTAGTAGTACCCCGAGAGTTAAAAATACGTAGTAATTAACTACACCTACATAATCTAAATGTATGTATAATCAATGTAAAAGTGTTTCAAATATTATGAATAATAATGTACATTGTGAGTGAGTGCAGACTACAGGTCGTACTTACATCTTACTTGACCTAAACTTTTACGTAGCACACCTAATTAGTAATAAGTATTGTATTATTAGGCTGGTGCCTTGTTATGAAGTTCTTTCTGATCTGTTTAAAAAGTAACTAAGTTTACTAAGTGTTCACCGTGGTCATAAGTCATAATCCATTATTCCAGCATAATTTTTTAGAGAGTTATACATATTACAGAATCAGGAGTCTGGACAAGATTAGATAACCCATTGAAGATCAATCATATGACAAATTCTAAGTACGCCACTATTATTTAATACAGACACGTATTCTTAAGTATAGCGCATACGCTGTATAAATACATAAAAATAATATGTTGTTTACACCGCTTGCACTGTTACGAACAAAAGCCCAGTAAGCAATTTAGTGCCTACCTATTAATTAATGTTGTGCTTTCACCTAAAGGTATTTAAGCCCAAGTATTAGGTATATTGTATACCTTGGTTTCAAAAAATGAAAAATGACCATATTACAATTTATTTATTTATTAGAATATAAACGGGCTTGATACTGTCCTTGATTACAGAAAAATATAATATAGAACTCATCATGGAGTTACAAATAAAAATAAAAATTAAACCTATAAGTACTCAATATAAACTTACAATTTATAAGTTTAAAAAAATAGTCTAGAAAGGAAGGGTCCGCATTGGAGAAAGAAATCTTCACATGGAATGTGTAACAAATGGCTTGCAAACTACAAAAACTTTTGTTGAACCCTTTTAATCTGCATAGAATTAGAAGCAGTATGGAGATCCTAAACAACAGTGCCATATTTCAGAATCGGGCAATCAAGCTCACAAAAAAGTGACCTGATATACATTCCAAGTCAATCAAATTTGGTTCAATATTAGTGTAACGCATACATTTTATAATGTATTAACTAAATGAATGTATATAACTTAAACCATGCAGCTTATTTAAATTCGATAACCTTAATTTAACCCATTACAAGACTTCGTTGAGTGCTAAATGTTTGCACAGGTTCTTATTTAGTGTGACATTACTATGTGTAATATTATTTTTATCCTGGATATACAGATCGCCGATGACGGAGGTCTAATTAAGAGTCATTTAAGATAAATCAAATTTATTGTACGGGGATGACTTAACATATGTAATTCATATTCCTAATTCCAGTACGTTTTTTTTATCATCACATTAATAAGACAAGTCAAGCCATACGCCTTCTTTTTGAATATTAAACGATTATATCATAACGGCTTAGTTTATAAAATCTATAAAAGTATTACATTTTAGTGATTTCTCGGTAGTTTAATATATTTTTTTTAATTTCTATATTAAAATTTGCAATAATAGTGTCAAATGATAACACGCTAGTCTCAACAGTGATAAGGATAAACATTTAAAAAAAACCTAAGAGGAAATATTTCTCCATCCTAAATATCGTTCGGAGTTCGGACTTAAAATACACACCAAAAAAAGGTTATACATTCTTAAAATAAGTACAAGGACCTTCTATAAGTTTAATTTTAAAATGATCACCATATTTTTACCATGTCAGTTAATTATTTAAATATAAACCCTTTGTAAAAATAGATATAATTTATAAAAATCTACTTATTAAACTTAATAAAAAGTTGTTACATGAGAATATAGCCTGATATTAAATAGGTATGTAGACAATAGAGCAAATCTCGAAATGGTCAGTAACATTAAAGACTTGGGTGTCATCCTGTCTACCGACTTACCTTTCAACACACATATCCACTCAATGTGTGCTAAAGCCTACCGCAATCTAGGGTTTATTAAACGAAACTGTAGTGAATTTAAAGACTTAGGGTGTCTCTCAGTACTTTATTCAGCCTTAGTGCGGTCTGGCCTGGAATTTGGGTCGGTAGTGTGGAACACTAGCCAGGTCGGTCTAATTGATAAAATTTAAATGGATATGTTGATAGCCCGGAACTTTTAGAGAGAGTATCTCGCTTAGTGCTGTAACGCAAAAGCCTTCACGTCCATTCTACTTGTTACAACCATACGGCGATAACAATCCCTATATTGACATTTATCTGAAATAACTTCTTATTTAGACTTAAGTACTATTATACTATTACGTCTCTGCGTTCTACATATGACGACATCCAGGAACACTTCTTTCAATGGTCTAGTTATGTGTCCAACTATCACCGTCCAGGGCCAACCGACCACTATAAGTACTCACTGCGAACAGGGCTAAATCGGTCAGACGTCGTCTAGTATTCTACAGCTCAACGTCCTGTTATTAAGTGACCTATTGTCCAATACTTAACTGTTATTTTACATTGTGTTGATAAACGTTTCATAGTTAATATTCATATTAAAAGTTATTACTAACTTTTGGTTGTTAATTCTGTTCTGCCTACCCTCTTCCATCCTCACACGGCCTCCAGGCATAACAGTGCCTAGTGTAAACACTCGGCACCATAATACTTTTTTAATTGAGCATCAATCAAAGAATTATGTAATAAATAGCCCTATATGTAGAATGTTAACTATATGTAATAAATTGTCTAATTTTGATTTTTTCTTTGATAATATATGTAAATTAAAATTAAGTGCTTTAAATTTAATGTGATTGATATATGTGTTAGTTAATAAGGTTGTTAAATGTTTATTATTGTGTTAATGTTAAAGTTGTTTAATGTTATTACTGTATTACATCTGTACTCATTGCTCCCTGCGGGGCGTTACTTTATTAAATAAATAAATATCTATTAATACTCGTGATTGAACTTAGCTGTCTAGACAGTATACACATTATTTACTAATCTATTAGACCCCAGATAGGTTCCTAGAATTTTAAGGGACAATAATCTTTTTTTTTAAATGACTTTCTGATGTGTAACGTGTTACCTATAAAAATATAGTACCCGGTTAAGTTTATACCCGAGTTCATAACTTAATAACCATTTCATTTTCAAGAGTGTTTTTATACTTTTGCTGAAAGAACGTACATAATTATTTTATACCTAACATTTATTACTAATTTTTTTCTCAACTATTTAAAATTTTAAATATTATAATGGCTCAAATAAGACAATTAAATCGAGTTCCAGGTCTTAGGAAAAACGAAGTTATTGAAAAAGACGATTTAGGTTTTATATATTGGAATCATCATAAAAATCGTAATCCAATGACCTATAGATGTAGACTTTATAAATCTGTGACTAAGTAAGTAACTAAGAAATTTAATAGATATGTATTTGTATTTATAGTAAGAATGTAAATAGGCACAAAAATTATTAGAGAGTTAAAATTATCTTTAAAATAGAGCCCATCTTTTTTTTTTAATATATATATTTCATTTAAATTTTTAACGGGCCTAATCCTAATTGTCATACAAAAATGTAAATTATATGAAAAGTTTTTTAAATTAAATAATATACAATGTATTAATTATTAAAAAAATAGCTTTTTATTTCATTAACATTAAAAAAATTAGAGTAGAAGACAACACTTTTAATAATAATAATGTTAATACTATTTTGAACAATTAAACTAACACAATATTGATTATTACAATACGATTAATATAGTAAATACATGCTGGTACAGTAAGAGGACATGGCGAAGAAGGTTGTTCAATTATATTTATTACCCCTGAAACCAGAAGGTAAAAACCATCACTTTAGAAATTACCTGTGTATTGTATATTAAGATATATAACAAACGTTTTAAACAAATAGCTAATATTAGTTTATTAATATATTTTACTCATGAAAATATTAAGATTGCTCAGGGAAAGTCCTGATATTTATATTGACGGAACTTTTGATGCGGCTCCATTATTTGGACAACAGTGCCAGCAGATGCTAGTCATCATGGCAAAATCTTTTGGCTATGTAAGTATAATAATTAATTATTTACTAACATACTGTAATATTACAACTTATGCTTTAATTATGAATTATAATTATGATTATGAAGGGATTTCCAATAGTTTTTGCACTTATGTCCAGAAAGACTACATCTGCTTATAATAAAATAATTAGCTTTTTAAAGCAATTGGAACCAGCCTGGAACCCAAACACTGTAATGAGCGATTTTGAAAGGGCGATAATTCGCTCATTTGAAGAACATTTCCAAGAAGATTTTTTCATGTACTATAGGCGTTTTTGGATAAATGGTACCATTGCAAATAAATTATTATTGTTGTACTAATTTATAGTTGAAATATATAGTTACTTATAGATAAATATCACTGACATTCATTTACACATACCTATTCATGAACCCTTTTCAGAAATTGGCCCTGTTACTCTCTCAGAACATGGGCGTACTGATAGAACAAATAATATTTTGGAAGCGAGCCACAGGAACTTGATGAGCCATTTCACGCATTCAAATCCATCACCTTGGTCTTTTGTTGGTAAGAAAAGTAATAAACTTTATTTCAGTAAGATAATAATTCATAAAATTAAACATTATATTATAGAACGTTTATTACCATATATTGGAGCCATTACTAAAGACATAAGGCGAGCAAGAGATGGAATCGAAATTCATAGGGATCAACCTGTAATATGGCAACAACAAAACAACAAAATTTTGCGAGCACAAAGACAGTTGGGTATGGGTCAACTGACAATATTTGAATTTCTTGTGCGCTGCATACATACAACTCCACAATTTGGAGTGCCAGCACCTATTCAAAGTAAGAAAGTACTATATAAAATTGTACATAACATTTTACTAAAGAATTAAAATATAACATTTAATCCTAAATTCTTCAATTATTATTTTTAATTATGTTTTCCGTATTTTTTTAACAATTTTTTTTTTAAATAAATAAAATATAATTAATTAAGTACTAAAATAATATAAAATATCAATCATATTACCATAGTGTCAATATTCTTTGTGTATTAAAAATATTAGTATATGTGCATTTTAATTTATAAAATTAGGTATTAAAATAATAAACTGAACTATTTACAGACGATGAACACGACATCCCAGAGGTTGTGAATCACGAAAATAATGTAAGTTAATTTTACATCTAACAATTGTGCTAATGAAAAACAGTGGTACAAAAAACATGATTTTAAAGGCAATTCCCTCTTGAGATTTTTAGATGCTCTCATTGGAAGTATAGGGGTGGTGTGTTTAAAACGATAAAGTTAAAATTGTCCCCTATATTTTAAATTTACCAGGCCACTGATGAATATACACAAACTAAGTCTCACAATTAATCATAACACTTATAAGATTTGAGATTTTAGTTTTTGGGAAATATTAAAACCTGTTTTTATCTATTATTATTAATTGCTTCAAAAAATTATTTTTTTTAAGGCCGCCGATCTACAAATTGATAATCAGGACTTTGGTATGTTATATTTAACATTATTATTTAAATAAGATATTTAGTAGTTAATTAATTGTAATTATTTTAATTTATTATTACTGTGATAAATTCAGGATCTGATGATGATGATGATGATTTTGATACCAGTGATGTAGAACCTAACGATATTGATGATATGATCCGAGGTAAAATATAATTACTGATATTGAAATCCTTTTATTGACATTGAAAATGTTTTTTTAAGACATTGACTACCAGAGCTTTTTCTTTTATTTCATAAAAAAAAACATAATAAAATAATATTTGAGCGTAACTATCCTCACCTTCTTGTAATAGCCAATGTGTTAAAGATTTTGATTTAATACATTATAAATATTATCATTGGTACATATATGGAAGCTTAGCACCTTAATTTTCAACAACCCCCAAAAGTGTATTATTTTTATTCATTAAATATTTATACCTAGTTGTAGACGTCGTACTTATGTAGAAGTGCTGCTTAGAAGAAAATTAAAGGTTGTACTCCATAAAGCTTATTAAATTAATGATTCTTGTTTACAGATATTGATGACAACTGAAAACTATTACCGACTTATATGAAAGTACTACATTGGTGTGCCTCTGAAGTCTTGTTTATTTTATTAGCTCTTATAAATTTGTACAATCATCATAATTCAAGTGATTTTGATGGAGTTAACAAGTGTATTCTTCAATTGATCAAAAAGCATCATTCGATGATGTCTTTAACAATAAATTAAAAGATTTTACCTTAACTGGTTCAAAAACAGTATTTTTTAATGTATTAGTAATTTTTTTCTTTTTTTCTACTGTTGTAGAAACTGCATTTTGTCTTTCTGGACATTAGAGCAAAAACTATAGGTAATCCCTTCAAATTCAGAACAGGCGAAATTGCCTGTTAGGTGCAATGCATATTTTATGTGTATGGTAGCGCATATTGCATAGGGTGTGGTGTGAAGTAATTGATGATAACAACTAACCCGGTTTATCCGAATTTCCTATAATAAGCCAGAAAAAGTTTATGTGGGTCCCTACCCATGAGTTCATATTTGATGTAATTTCAATAACATTTTAATACTTTTTATCATTAAATTATAGTTATTATGATTACTCACTATACAATATGAGCCTTAAATGGTAAGGCTAAAGACGTATTAGTATAATAACACGAGCTGATACGTCCATCATTAACAGTTAAATACATTGAAATTATATAATAAAATTAAAATTAGAAAGTAAGAATGATAGCACAATAGTAGTTTATATTCAAAATTATTCGAATAAATAATAATATTTATTTTATTACTTATAATTTTTATCACATAACAAAAATGAAAATTATTTTATCACAATATTTAAATACAGCCTTGTGGTTAGAACCTGGTTATTGATAAGAAAAAATATACTATAAGATGGCTTGGGAACCTATGGCAGCTTGCCACGGCTCCTCTATATTACTCTATGGGCTGGTCACGCTGATAAAATAAAAATTGTGTTATCTTTTGGAATAACTCTTATCTCTTATCATTTTTTGGAAGAACTGCCCCAAACACTTTCGTTTATCCATTATCACAACTTTTGACCTGATTGGCTGTCATTTTTCTACGAAGCACGAACCGATTTCCATAGTTTTCCTGTTTTAGTAAATATTTCTTGTCGTTTTGTCATTTGTGTATTGACGACGAGGTTTTTCGACTTTGTCATTTACCGTACTGTACGGTTGAATCGATACGTGCGTTATTTAGCGAGTTAATCTCGATTGTTGTAATAATAAAGACGTACAATGGCGAATGTGTCATTTGTGTTATTATACTTAATGTCGATGGCCAAAGTGCCGTTCGAATGTTTTTCGTGCAAAATTAAATGGTTACCTAACGAACGCCCAACACGTTTTTGATAAACGGTCTTCGCTCACTATGTTGTACATACAGCTATGAGTATTTCCATCGAGAGACCGATTTGAATCTTACGGTGGGTCGGCCGATCACACTTGTTTCTATCTGTTGATAATGTATTTTTTATAATATCGTATTTGCAACTCTACCGGAGTATTAACTATTCATGTTCTAGTACCTAATTTGAAGTGTCGAAAGTTAGACAAGTGCTGCCATCCGACTTGCTCTGCGTTCGACGAGTCCAATATGTGTTGTTACTTGGTACAATTTGTGTTACATTTTATTTTTATTAAGTCAAAGGAACAGTTTTAAATTCGTTGTTAAAACAGATTAGTTCACATAATAAAAAAAAAAATTACACGTCCGACTCTGCTATGTTTATGGCTGTAATGTGATTGAGCTGGTAGAAATGTGACCGTACAATATGATAGCGACAACCTGGTACCGGACGAGTTGTGGCAATACAGCTGTAAGGACCCCTAGATTGTAAATCATCTGCTTACGCTAAGCCAATTGATGAAAACAAAAAAATACCATTATTTTTGATTTGGTACAAATATGCGTGATCAATGGTCAATTTGGTGATGTGGCCAAAGTTTTCTGCTGTTTTCCGATAATATTTTACCTTTAAATTTGACTAGTGTAATATTTTTGTTTGTATTTTTTTAGCCCAAAATAGCTCTTTCTTTTACCCAATTTTTTTTACAGACTTGTACTGGCTTATAGTCATTGCATTTTAAATGATACTCAAATGTATTTGATGTTCTACTTCTTTCTTGTGAACATATTAATCTTTTAGAAGAATCTACTGAAACATTCACTTTTTTCCGGCCAAGATTTCCAGAACTTATTTTAAATGTCTATCCGTTGAGAATCATCAAGTGTGTTAAAAAATCTACTATTAGCTTTTAAACAGAAATTTGATGTACAAGTAGACTGAAACTCTACAATATCTTTTTATATTTGGTTCAACTTTTTTATATTTTCTTTGAAAACTAATATACTCAGTGGCCTTTTGGTAAAAAAACTAAAGGGTGTCCGCTCCTTTATGGATTTATGACATGGCATATTGTGTATCTATTAGTAGCAAAACTGATCAGATTCTACCATTCAAAAATTGAAAAATATATAACTTATAAAAGTTGTCATAGCCACCAAAGGCTTTGCTATCACTTTTGTCTTTTATTTTTAGACCTACTGTTTTCTGCACACCTATGTTTGAGGAGCCAGTTATGTATGTAATTTTTGTTATTCCAATCAAGTTGGAGGGTTCCATTTATGTTAACGAACATTAAACTAAATATATCATTTGTCGTTAACTGTGAACGAAGATCCATATAAATGTTTTTTAGAACACTGAATCCTCTTTTACATTCAGCGGTTGTAATTTTTTCTTTTTACCGTTAAATGCTTCTATGAAATTATACGCTTGTATAACTTGGTAGAAGTAAGTATTTAAGTAGAAATAAAAAACGCAAGGATAACATGATTGAACGCAATACTATTAAACATAAAATCACACAGTATAAATATAAAGAATAGTATATACAACGTACGTACAATACACATATTATGAGCTCTATGTGTAAATGAAATATAAAAAATAAAATGTATAGGTTAGTAAATCATTGTGTAAAGCGAGCTACTTTACACATGTAAGATAGGCAATTATGGCGTGCTCAGCCCAAGGACGTTACTACATCACAGTTTACCACTGTAAATCATACTGTTAAAAACAGCTATTTTGAGCTATTTGGCATGTACCTGAAGGTGTGTGTCTCTTTTTTGTAAACTTCATATTTTATTATATTATGTACTCTTAATTAACAGGTTCAAAAATGGTAGTTTCCCATCTTTTTCCAATTCATATGTGAATTTGATTAAGCACAAGTGTAGAAATAAAATTCTACAACAATTTAATATTCCAAATAAATCAAACAATAGACAAAAAGATTAAGTATACTAGTACAATTTATAATTAATAATATGATAATCAATGACAAACCTTGCTACTGTGCACGCTTTTATCCGGATCCGATGTAAGTTGGTGTTATATCATTTGACTTAAATTAACTTAAAACTAAGACCTACTCTTATCGGTTTATAACATATAAACTAATTGACTTAAAACTAGAACCAACTTTATATAGTTTTATAACATACAAAACTAATTGAAACATAAACCTGAACCAATGTTAGGCCGCTTACTGGGTCACCAATTGCTTTACACTTACCGATCAGTCTGTGCGTATGTAGTGATGTAGATAGCTCTACTGAGATTGGGAGGTATCGCCTACACAAAAACCAGAGAGCTATGAGGTGAGATTTGTGTGAGTGTATATAATATGTGGGTGTGTGGGAAACTTAAAATAAATAAATGAATAAAACTCACAATACAATGATAATAATAATAATATTCAATAAAAATGTTTTGCCGCTTTGGCTCAATAACAATTTAAGTATGAAATTATTCTATTGCCTCTTTGGCAGAACAATATTAGGTAAAAAATGATAACAATATTGGCCTCTTTGGCACAAAATAATTTAGTAAATAATAATAACAATATTAGCCCCTTTGGCACAAAATAATATTACATGGTAATAACTAGAACTATTAGGTAACGTTGTGTGAGCTGGTGTTTTAAAGATTAAAAAAATATTATGGTATCTTAATTTTTACTAGAACAATAATTAATAAATCACTATGATATAAAACGAACAATTAATATTAAACTAGATCGAGGCCCTTGTGGCTGACTAGATAATACAAATGGTGCCTACGGTTCACCTTGTGTCTATCGACCTAACATTCATTAAATAAAAAGGGTTAAAATTCGTTCTAATAACTCACAATAGGAACCCAATAATATAAAATTATTTATTACTCTCGGCACTAAAAGTTTTACTCTTTCGCGTAACTCACTCAAAGTTTCTAATGGTGAAAAGTCAATTCCTTTTTCAGTAATCCATTTTTGAACATTGACTTTTATTTCGTTCAATTTAGGATACTTTTCGTCGAGAACAGAGTGGTGTGGTGCATTGTCCATTACAATTACAGATGGGCCTTCTAAATGCTGTCGCATCTGTATAAACCATTCCTTAAATATTGAAGAATTCCTTTTGGGTGTGATAATCTACAAAAAAACTTGATCGACATAAAAATTCTAATTTTGATTCTGGCACAAAACCAAATGAACTAGATCCACCATGATAAATAATTAGGCGTTTACCTTTCAGCATCAAAGTCGTCTATGTCAGTTGCGTATTTTGCTCTTTTATATTACTTACGTGGAGAAGTAAAAGATGGTCCAGGAGCTTCTGATTGTGAAGATGATTGTTTTGCCTCTACAGTAACACATTTGATTGTTCTCACACTTACACCACACGCTTCTGCAGTTTTTTCCTGTGTTTGACGGAAAAAAATCGCTACCTCCAGATTTTAAGAATCCATAGATAATTTTTAAAATAATTATACACATTATAAATTGTTTTTTTTGTTTGCGAATGAACGTCAGGACGCAGAGACATGTTAAACAAATTTAAAATTGTATGTTCAATAAAATGTACAGACGATTTCGAAAAACGCGGGCCGTTATGTTAAGATAACGACGAATAACAATAAACCTCGTTTTCACTACTGTAACAACAGTCCTTGGAGTCTGGAGAAACAGTCATGGGTTTCTAAAATATGTATACGTGATGTACCCATATCAACGCTTTATAAAACAGCTGTATCAACAGTAACTCATATACAAAATTAATATAATATATTAAGCATATATTATATAATAAAATATATTATAGCAACTATTTTTTTTATAGTGATAACCGGCTATTAAGGAGCAACGTTTGAAACCCCTGAATTCCTGAAAAATTACCACGAGGCGCGCTGTTTTTTTTTATAGAATGTTTTTCAGTTCTCTAGAAGAACCTGTTTAAGTTCTACAAGAATATCATAATTCATATCAAATTCAATACTACATAGAACAGTCTTGGCAAGTGGCAATTTAGTTGTTGTAAAATGAGTTTTGTTTAGCTTGTATTCTTTATCGGTAATATCTGTCTTGTAAAATAAATTAAATTTGCCTCTTTCATCTGTCATAACAACAATTTTTCAGTAAAACTATTTGCTTTTTTTTAAATTTTTTATTAAAAAAAGCCATTAATCTCCATTTGATGTTTGCTGATTACGCTGTACCGCAGTTGTCTTTTTTGGATGCATTTGTTCTTCAGCCTTTTTGTAGGCAGAGCACCCCTTCCAGTTAGCGGTGTTAGCTTCCCCACAATTTGCACATTTAGCTTTTGATTTTGAACAGTTTTCTGTTTTACGATTTTCGCCACATTTGACACAAACCTT